ATTTTTTTTTTTTTTTAATGAAGCATGGAAAAATTGAGACCTCCGCTTACAAAAAGGAAATTTTGTTGGGGGGTAGTAATGACATATATATTCTGTTTACCTTATCAGATAAAAGAAACAAGAAATGCCCTGTTTAAAAGTATGTTATTTCTTTGTAATCTAATTTCTAGGTATTTAAAGATTGTACAAATTAATAAACTCTTTTCTGTAGTGTCTCTGTGCTCCCAGGTCACTGAGTATCAAGATGCAAGATAAGTTCAGAATATGCTGCTGTGTTCAGCATAAGAAATGCAAGAATTTTTTTTATGAGGAGGTCGTACCTTTTCATTAGACCCAATGATATTTATTTGAAAAAAATAGATGCACTTTGCATGCACAACCCTCTTCCAGGTTTTCTGTCTCTTGGGGCAGATGTTGTCCTTGATTTGATTTGAAAGTTTAGATGAATCTTTTGCGGACGTTGTAGCTCGTGGGTGTCCTGGATTGCCTTGCTTGGCTCAGTGCCTTGCTGTAACTAGCTTATGGTTACGTCGGTCATTGCTTCCACCCTTGGTGGAGATAGAGAAGCTGTACTCTAGTGTCCCTCCATTGCTAGGCTACTTGCGTCTTTTACCAGTGTTTTTACTTCTTCTAGAATCTATACTTTGTGTTCAATTCCAAAAGAAAAAAAATCCGGGTTGGTTGAGATACCAGTGCTACTAAAGTAAACCTCGCTAACCGTCAATTGCCAGTAAATAAATGTGTTTTCCAAAAAGTAATCCTGAGTTCTTAATTTCTTTTTTTGGAACTGTGTAAGATTAACGGCTTGGTTTTTTTCTTTCTTTCTTTCCTTGGATCTAGTTAACAAATTCAAGGTATTTCATCTTTGTCTCTGTTCTGCCTTAAGTGAAACACCATAGTTAATATGCGGGGGAGAAGATGTTTCCTTTTGAGAATCAAGGCTGTTGTCTCAATAAATTGTCTTACTGTTTCAGTATTCCTAAAGAATGTTTCCAAAATCCTGGCATAAATACAGAAATGAGATTGTTCTGTCGTAGAAAGTCGTAGAAAGATTAAGTCCGCCTGCTTAATCAGCCCTAACATTGGAACACCTACGTTGGCATCCTTTGTACTTGCTCCTGGGCTACGGTGCTGAAGTAGAGCGGGTCATGCAGGATTTTCTGAGATTTACTAGCTGACCTGGAAAGCTATTAGCATCACAGGTTTCAAAACTGGGACGTGGGCAGCTATGCAAACGTTCTTGTGATCTGGACCCCTGCATGTGTGTAGGAAGAATCTATTTACCAGCAGCAAGGGGCCCCCTTTAAAAGGCTGTTTTTTCCCTTTACAGAGTTGTTATGTTATACCTGAGAAAAATCATTACAGTGGAAGGATGTTGCACTGGTGCAAAAGGTGTTAATAGGACCTGAGCAAGCTGTTCACTGGAGAATCTAGGGAAAGGGCTTTGCTATGAGGGCCTTTCCTCCCACCCCTCATTCAGAGAAAATGAATTTACTTCCAGAACCAGAGAGCAAAATTGGCTTGCGTTTGCATTCAGTGTAAACCTGAGGAAAGTGAGGAAAGCTGGAGGTCTTGGAGGGCGAAGTAGTTGAAAGAATGGCAATCATGTTAGCATTTGAATTTACGAATAACTCTGCAGTCAAGTCTGTGGACCTTCGGAAGTTTGTGGCCTGCATGAGAATCTTTTTTTCTTATAGACACTTCTTCTGTGGAGCACACCTCCTCTATGCTTATTCTAGTATGCTGTTTCCCTGATGAAGAACAACTTTAACCATGGATCGTTTCTCAGACCTCATGATAGTGGAGGAAAGGGTAGAAGACAGAACCATCCTTAGAGCAACAGTTGTATCACTCTAGTGTATTTATTTGGATGCTTCTGCAACATCAGAACGGAAAACATTTTGTCTTCAGCACAACCTTATGGGATGTGTGTGGCCCAGTTTTCAGTGGTTCTTGGACATACAAGTTAAAATAGATGCTGTCTCTGGTTTAGCTTTGGCTCAGGAATGGTTGGAAAGTTACTGGAAAATTTTGCCTTTTTTTTTTTTTTTTAAAAAAAACATTAAACATTTTAATCTTATTTATAATTAGCTGTTATACAGTATTAGTTATAAGTATTATAAGAAGCTCCCGTAGCATTAAAGGTAGATAGGCACTAGATGAATAAAATGTACTGCATTTGAAAAATACTGTTTGCTTATTTCAAGCCTTGCTTTGTAAATGCTCACTTATAAGGGGCAGTACTTCTTATCTGGAACAGATTCATTGATCCTAATAGGATATAATCATCATTAGTCTTCTTTATGGCCCGTATTCTGAAAACATTTGAAATTGGACTGCTTAGGCAATTACTAATTATTATCACATTTTTTCCATAGTCAGATCTTAAATTCATATTTGGTTGACTCATACGAACAATGTAAGGAACGAGTGCCTCTTAGGGATGCGTGTATTAATTCTGGAAAAAATAACTTCATTAAACAAGTTATTCCTGCTAAAAAAAAATGCTACACATGGTAAATAATTACTGTAAATTATAAATTTACAAAAAATGCAAACTTGACAGAAAATCATTAACAGTGAGAATGGTTTCAATATGTGTCAAGGATGTGTTTAAGATCAGGTTACACAAAGTTAGATTCATGAAGAAAAGGCCCTGACCTGTTAGAACTGCAGGTTATAAGACCTTTTCCAGCTGTTTAATCTTCACTTAGGGAAATTAAAGCTTCAGGCTTTCTATACTAAGTATTTTTGGGTACTTTATATTAATTCTTTGAAGCTGAAGGGTATCTAAGAAGAAGCCTAAAGAGTTGAACCCCAGCAAAGTGAATTACTGAAGAACATAACGACTGATCAGTGTTCAAGTATACTCATATTTGACTTGTCCAGTAATGCAGTCTGGAAGTATATTAAACACCAACTTGAAGTTATTGGTGTTTATTCAGATGTAATTTTTTGTATTCTCAAAGTGTTTTACGTGTGCTGTCTATATAAATCAGAGAGGCAGGAAATGGGAATTCATCACGCCGGTGGTCCTTCTCTCACACTATTCAGCTCACGAAGAATCAGAGGTTCAAAGTGTGCACGTCAGGGAGCTTTTCAGAGTTCAGCTTTGCTGTCAGCAAGAATACTAGATTTTTTTTTTCTTCAGATGGAAAAAATCAGTTAGGATACAGCAGTAAGGAACAGAAGAATGTGCAGCAACCCAGCCGCTCCGTCACTGCATGATGGATGGTGAGTGCTGCTGAGGGCCACAGTATTGGGGCTACAACCTGCTTGGCCTCTAGATGAACCATGAAGATTTGCCGTTTGCTATGAAAATGAATGAATAAGTAGTTTTAAATGAAGGTGCTGCTCTTCAAGTAATAGATTATTTCTCTATGATGGTAGATAGTTTGTGCCTACTGCCCAGGTAGGGGCTGTGATTAATACGCTGCTTTAGCTGCTTGAGGAGATAACATCTCTAGCGCTAAAGATCTTGTTTTCATGCAGATAATGCTAATGAGAAAATCAAAGCAAGATAAAAACCTGGGAAAGTGATGTAATGCATATAGCAAGTCATACCCTGTTGAAACCGTAAAGTCTGATGAGAAGTTATCAGACTTTCCTGTAAAGGAGATTTTTTTTTATGATTCTAGAGGAAAAGTAGGAAACGTAGTGCTTGTCTCTTTTCTCCATAGACTGCATGTGTCTTAGGCAGCACGGTCCGGACAATAGCAATGAGAGATGGTAGATTTTAAGTCTTTCAGGTTAGTTGCATGCAGAAAGCAAAAACGAGAGTATGACTTTGTTTGTTTGTTTGTTTGTTTTTAAAGTGTTACTCTGTTTGGTTTGAATCTAATAAGCCAAACACCAGTTAGGTAGTTCTCTGTCTATTATAGCTTTAAAGTAATGGTAAGCTGCTTTCTGTATGTATACTATTTAATTTGATGACGTTCAAAAGGTTCTTCCAGGGTCATCTAGTCTATCCTCAGCTATCAGACAAGGTTTTTACACCCTTGCATTCAATAATCCATGCTCATTTGTTGTCTGATTTTTGACATCTTTTTCCAGAGTTATGTCCTAGGCACATTATATTTGTAAATGTAACAAATCTTTTTTTTTTTTTTTTCCCTACTAGGAATCTTTTCCTCACTGACAAATTCATACTTTTGTTTTAAGATACATAATAAAGCATTAAGGTCTTACAGAACACTAGGATTGTTGGTAATAGTAGTAGCTAGAATGATTACATGTACTCTAGAAATTTCTTGGACTGTAAATGAAACTATTGTTCTTGTGCATGGTATATTTAGTTTTGAAAAGCATATTAATGAAAAGTTTATGACATGGAGGTTGCTATTTCCTTTCATTAAAACAGCAGTATATCATGCTGTTGTTTTGCGCATGAGATGTAGATGAGACAGTTGTAGCATTGTTCCAATGGGAGTTAATTGTCAAGTATTTTTCTTTCTTAATTTGGTAATCAGTCTTCTAATCTCAATTAAAATTGGGATCTTGTTTCTCCATTTTATCTAGCTTGCACCATTTGTCTCGTCATATGAGTCATTCGTCTCTTCCTTATTAGTATGTATTTACTTATCAATGATCTGTTTGCAATTGTTCTGAAGTATGTGATAGAATTTTTATTTGCACATATCCTTTGCGGGGGGATTAATGTTCTGGTTTTGATAGTCAGCTGAATGCCCTTTAGGCTATGTTGTCAGCAAATATTATGTGGGTTTCTGCCGTAACTATGAATACATTAGGTGCTGGACTACCAGGGTACAATTTGAAACAGAATTTGGAGACTGTGATTTTGCTTATAAAATCTGGAGATACAGTTTTTTTCCCTTTTTATTTATTATGTTAATGCCTTTTCAAAAAATATTGTATCTAATTGTACTGTGAGGCATTTTATCTTACAGTAGTTATACAGACCGTTTAGGAATTGTAAAGAAACAAAAATCAGAGTGATGAAACACAGTGAATTCTCATGAATGATCCTCCTTCTCTCCTAGATATTTGGGCAATTGGCTGTATATTTGCTGAACTGTTGACTTCGGAACCTATATTTCACTGTCGTCAGGAGGACATCAAAACAAGTAACCCTTTTCATCATGATCAGCTAGATCGCATTTTCAGTGTAATGGGATTCCCTGCAGGTAATTTATTTTCATTAAAGGGCCAGACATAACGGTATTGAATTGAATTTTGTTCTAGAAGAAATGCCTGGTTGTTTGTACAGGTACATAGAAGCTGTCAGTGTGATGGATCTGGAAGTGCTGACAATTATGGAACAGTAATACCAACAACATAAAAAGTCAAAACAACTTCTGTAGCTGTTTCTTCTCATGTGTTACTTAACCTATCCTTTAAGTATTTTAAATGCGTTTTAAATGTGTCTCTCTTCTTCTTTTTTTTTTTTTTTTTTTTTGTGTCCCCCTTCTGGCCACATTTGGTCTAAGAAAGCGGCTCCAGCCTCCACCAGCGAAAGGCGGCAGGTATGAAGGAAACACTCCCCACACCAAACTGGGCTCACGGGCCATCTGTTGGACTGTGCTGAAGCAACCAGAGCATGCTTTCAAGTGGACCATTTTCTGACTCACGTCTTCACAACTCAAAGGGTCACATTTTCAGCCATTTCTTGTTTTTTTTTTTTTTTTTTTTTTGCCCACAAAGATAAAGATTGGGAAGACATAAGAAAGATGCCTGAATATCCAACTCTTCAAAAAGATTTTAGAAGAACAACGTAAGTGGATGGTAACAAAAGCTCAGTGAATACAGCACATAGGCAGAGATTAGCTCCTATAGTCTTCGAACTTTTTGAGTGTTTGGGTTCTAAGGCTGTGACAGCTCTTGTGTTTCGAATGAGCTGTTTTGCTTGAAGGGTGTTCTCTCCCCTTGGTGCTTAAAAGCATCAGCTGGATGGCTCTCTCAGTCCTCTAGAAGGGGCCGTTATAAGCACCGTTTAATCTATGGCAGGCACCATTGAATGGGGTTGCTTAAACCACTTGTATTAGCTGTTTAAGATAACTTCCTTCATTTTGTGTGAGAAGGAATAGGGAGCTACCAGCAGAGATGTGAGCCAGTAATGTGTTGGTCATAAGTTGCTGTGGAAGGTAATGTACGCAAGAGGTGATGATGTAAAGCCCATCCGGGATCTGAGAATTTCCTGCTTTTAGGGTTGCGAAGTGCTTTGACTAAGTTAGTCAGGTGATGTTGATAGATCAGAAGGCATAAGGATTATGTTTTAACACAGGTTATGTTTTAAGCCGGAGGAATGGGATTTGGGAGCTTTGAATTCTATGTCCAGCTTTGTCATGAATTCATTATGCTGACTTTAGACAAGCTATGAAGCTTCTCTGTGCCTGAAGTTTTTTTTCCTCCTTAAAATAGATATAGTTAACCTCTGAATTTACAGACTAAAGGCAAGGCATGGCACAGGTCATACATGTTCTGGGTGTTTTCAAGCTCCGGAGCTATAAGGACTTTGTGATTTCTTGCAGGTGGGGATGGGGAGATAGAGCGGTAAACTAATTTCTCTGCCAAATTGCAAGTGGGAGAAACAGTGTAATAGCTTAGTTGTTCCATTGTTAAGAACTGCTCTGCACTTTTTGTGATAGAGTTGCTTTAGAAAACTAGCATGTAAACTTCAACCTGAGTTGCTCTGCTGTACACCGAAGTCAACAGCTTATCCGTACAGTATAAAAGTTGCATGTTCCGTTGAAACAATCTATACACAGGTGATGCTACTGCTAGTACTGCTACTACTACTAGTGAAAGACATGCTTGGAGTGTGAACTACTAGCTATGTCTAACATGATTTCTGATAGCAATCCTTTTCACATTTTACTTATTAAGGGCTGATGCTTTTGTGATCACTGGATATAGTTTTGTATTTTAATGTTGCTTTGTTTCTGAAATGTCTTTGTTAACAATACTTTTCAGATATGCCAATAGTAGCCTCATAAAATACATGGAGAAACACAAAGTCAAGCCTGACAGCAAAGTTTTCCTTTTGGTAGGTACGATTTGAAAATCACTGTGACGATAGGAGTGAAATGTGTTTCTGATGGTATTATCTGTGTCTGTTCTTCTATCTTATTCTAATAAACACCAATGTAAAAGAGAGCTATTTCTCACTAGCTGGCCGTTTTTGAGATCTTTTCTCTTCATATACATTCATGTTAAGGGTGTGCTTAAACTGCTGCCGCCCGAGATCTGAAGCGTTTACCTAACTAAATCTGTGGGGCATTTGAGTAGCCAGCCTTGTACAGGCTTGCTGTACAAATAAAATAGTGTTATGTATCCCCTGGTTCCACTTGGCTCGAGACTCCCAAGAGCTAGCGAGTTCTGTATAAAAAAGGGACGAAAGGATAATAAATGTGCATCTGGGCAAAACATCTTCAAGAAATTTAATTATTTCCTGTAGTAAATTTCTTTGGTTTTGTTTTTTCTTCCCTCTAACAATACTCTGCCTCTACTCTGGGTATCTATACTGTGTATTTGTCGATTACCTAGTTGAGTCGTTCATTGTAGCTGACTACAAGGTTGTTTTGCCTATTACAGCATCATTTCTGGATGCCTCTGTGATGACTTAGTGCTCTCTATAGTTAGGACTGAAGTTCAAAGTGACTTTGCTAATGCCATGAGTAAGGAGTTTCTGTAATAAGGTTGTTAGACCAGCAGAACTCAAGCCACACTGTTTTCATCATTAGAGGTAGATTCAATTTGGCAGTCTGCTTGCAAGTTTTGTTCTTTGGCTTGTTAATATCTTCTGAATAATGACAAAAATAGTTGTAGAAACAGAATAGGTTGGTTCTAAGTGGATGGGATGATGGGACTTGCTGATACCCAGCATATGAAGGGAAGCATTCACAAGAGAAATGTGAGACTTGAATAAAAATAATTAAATTTCATGACCCTACCTTACTAGGCAGAAATGGGAATGGTCTGGAGGAAGACACTAGCTGAAAAGGCCACAATTTTACGAGATGTCATTAGTTAGCACCTGAAGTTCTCTTCCTGTCTCCTAAAGGTGAAAGCCACTAGAAAGCCTGCTTTTGTGTTAAGGTAAAGAAGCAAATGATGGAGAAGTAGTGAATTAAAGTTAATGCAGGGTACACCCTTGACTGAACAAATAGATAAGTGTGTCCCTATAAATTCCACTGTGTAATCCTGAGGATAGGAACTGAGATTTCCAAAGGTCTAAGGGCTTGCTCTGAACATCTCGAGGAAAACCTAGTTTGCTTAGAAAACCCGTTAGGTTTTCTTAGTCAATTTTTTTGCAGTGTTAATAATCAGGGGTGAATAGGGATGGCTTAGTGATAGACCACAGAGGCGGAGGTTGCCGAGTCTCCCAAAGGTCGATCCCCCAGAGCCCTGTGAAAAAATAAACGCAGGAACACGGACAACTCTCTAGGCATGTCGTTGCTGCACTGAGGAGCTCCAGGCACCAGAATTGCCACAGCCACGCTGCTGCAAAGGGGATCGGTACCTGCCTTATCTTGTGAAAGATCCTCAAAAACAGCAGAGCTTGGAGGGAAGAAGGTGTGCATTGCTCTCCCATATCAAGAGATTAGAAATGCACTTGCCTGGGAGGTTGGAGGTACACTGATTCTGAAGCAGGCTTCCTGAAGCGCCTTGCTCATATCTGAGTTAGGTTGTTTTTTGAGGTAACCTCTATCTTGTAAGATGACCTCTGAGGATACCTACTTTTGTAATCTTTGTTGATCGTGATTTTGCGCTAATGTGTTCAGCGAGTCTAAGCAGATAGAGAATAGGTGAATACGGTACCAAGTAGGATAGCAAACGACTCTTGACAAAGAGGAGGATATCATGGCACTCTGCCGACTGAGGTAGAATGTTAATGTCTACATGAAAAAGTATTTCCATCCAGGAAGAGAGGCATCTGTTCTTGCTGCCCTGGGAAAGTTACAAACATTGTATTTGTAGCCATCATGTCAGGCCATTAGAGCCTGACAGTCAATAGTCTTGAATTGGAGAGCTGCTGAGAAGTATGAGAGTCTGTTGATAAGAGTCCAGTCTCGCAGACTTTCTACATTGTGATAGCACCTGCTACCCTGAAAGCAAATTGTTTCTAGACTTTTTTTTTTTTTTTTGGTTCGCTTTCCTAGAAGCAACAGAAACTACAGAACGCCATACTGTCAAAGAAAGTTGACGGTAGCATCCCTGATAGGCAGAACGTCTCACTTGGAGTGATGCTGTGTGGCGTTACCAGAAACGGGCAAACTCATTGCATCCTTTGGGATGGAGAGGGATTATTAAGGGAGTGAGCAGCTCATTAAAAGATCCTGATGTCTTCAGATCTTCTGCAGTAGTGGAATAGCCTTGTCTTTGAATGACAGAGAATACAGATTACGTGTGGAGGTTGCCTGTGATGAGGGTGATATTTGGCAGAAAGCTGGAGGAGGTTTCTCCTGAGCAAAGGAGCGTGGTAGTGCAGGGGTGATAACCTATATTCTTCCTCTTCTGCCCATGACCACCTGCAGTACTGAGGAGCAGGAGTGGCCACATAAGAACATGAGCATTTGTCCCTGCAGTCTTTGTGGAAGAACTAGGGAGGAGTATGTTGGATCACCTGTAATGCTGTCACAAGCCGCTGGAACTAACGACAGGGAGAGGGATGATTTGAAATACAGATGATGAATATTAAAACTGTAGTTAGCCCGTATTTATTGTATGATATGCGGTTGCTGTGTGGAGCTGACAGCAAGTTAGAGATTGGATTTGATAAGATATAGAGGAAACACTTCTAATGATACATGATTTATGAAGTTTACAATAGTCTTGAAAATACCAGCAGGACAAGCTGGGAGGAATGCTCTATTTAAGGAAAACAATAGGAAGGTAAACTTAGAGGGCTTTTGGAGGTGAGAATGTCCTGCTTAATTGCATATACACCTTGTATCTCAGAGTCCAGTCTCAGAACAAGGGAGGAAAATTTTGCATAAATCTAAAAGCTGCTATGAGGTTGGAGGAAAGAACCATTGGGAAAGCTTCAGAAAAGACGAATGAGAAAAGTGAAGAAATTCTATCTTGACCAAAGTGGAGAGAATCTGTAGCCGCAGAAAGCTTTTCCTGACTCTGAGTTAGAGGCTTAGTTTGCCAGCGGCTTAGCTTACTGTGGCTGATCATTAGTTATGTATAAGCTGGAATTGTCTATTAATTTGTTTTTCTCATTTCCAGCTGTGTAACCAATAACTTAACTCTCCCTTTGTCCCATTAAATTTACTATTATTTTTAAAATTGCACCGGGCTAAGGGGTATCCGACAATACAAAGCAGAATAGATAGTGTACCATGCAAACTCCCCGGGTGTGTACAATGCCATCATTTCAGGAGCTGGTCTGATAGGTGGAGAACCAGTCCAGCTGCTTTTATCTGGCCAGTCTGTTGGGGTCCATGGCTCGTAAAGTAAAGGGAACAAGGAGAGATGGGTGGGAAGTGGAAAAAGTACAGAGAATTTGATGAGACCCTATCTAGAAGTAGGGTTAAATACAACCACTGGGAGAAGAAATGCAGGGCATGATCTCTTCTTCAGGAGGATGAGTGCTTTCTGCAGCTGTTTACTGTACCAGCTGTCTTGGAGTGTAGACGTGTTTACCACAATCTTAATTTATTAAAACAAAACCCAAACGTACTTATGCCAAAAATCCATTCTTTTGCTGGATATCCAGGGAATTTTTGTTTGATGCCTGGGAGATAGGAGTTTCAGCTAAGATGTCCTGGGCAGAAAGAATTGTATTTTCGCTGTTGACTAGAATTAGATAAGAATATTGTGTGAGAGCATGATACTGTACAATGTAATTTGAGCACCCAAAGCTCATATAGGGAGCTTATCAGAATGTGATTTTAAAAAGAAAGACTAGAAAAGGTATATTATCACTGTAATTCCTACTGTGTACTACTGATAAATTATCATCATCTTTTTAAGTCTGGGGCAGTCAACAGCCGTCCAGCTAACAGATTCATTATTACTTTCCTTCTAGCAAGGAAGAAAGGTTACTAGGAAGGGTCTGCTTCTCCTCTTTCTCATGTCAATACCAATTAGAGTGGGATTTTGACCTGTGTGAGTGGCAGAGTGCGCTGACTCTGAAATGTTGCCGGGGGAGAGAGAAAGATTTATTGTTTTCATCTCTAATGCAATATGGAGAGTCCTGGTCATATTCAGAGCGTTCTCCTCTGATGCTGTCTTCCTGTTGTGTCAGCAGTAAGGAACAGTAAAAAAGCTATGAAGGTGCCACAACAAAACACCATTATGTAAAAGTGATGCTTTATGAACCTGTAAAGGCTGAATTTAGTACCGCTTTAGCACAGCAGTTCAGCCTTAACAATTAATACTGCCAGATCCTTAACTGTATTTCTTGTGTGGGAAGTATTTCATAGTCATAGTGCTTTGATGGATGTGCATTCTGTTTCTTGGCAGCTTTACTGAGCACAAAATGCTAACTTATGCTTACCTGGACAAGCCACAGATAATTTAACAGTCCGTGATCTAAGAGATACAAGTCGTAAGTTTGAAAACCGATAGTTTGGTAAGCTTTTTGCTATTTCTAATGTTATATTTTGCAGCTTCAGAAACTTCTTACTATGGACCCTACGAAGAGAATTACCTCAGAGCAGGCTTTGCAGGACCCCTACTTTCAAGAGGATCCTCTGCCTACATCAGAGTATGTATTCCCTCTGCTGTGCTCTTCAGGGTTATCTTCCCTCTGCTAAATGCTCATCTCTGATAATGAGGCGACAGCTGAAAAAATTCAGATAGCTAGCTGTAGCTGTAGTTCGGGCATGCTCAGTAGAAACTATTAGCGTGGCTTTGAAGTGTCTGTATCTACTGATGCTAGAGCTGAGTGTTCAGGGGCAATATACCAGTATCAGTAGTACTGTAGTTCTGAAGCTGTTATCAAGTGAAGTGACACTACTGTTGCAGTGCTCAGAGTATAAATCTGTGCCTGTTCTGTTCTGCTTTGCACAGCCTCACGCAGCCCTGCTCTCCATTGCCCAGTTTCATTGTGCCTCTCCCTAGGACTAGGGCACTTCTCTGACCTACAGCACATTCCCGTGCCCTCTTCTGCAGGGATATATCACAACCAGGAGAGAAAAAAGGATCATTGTCTCCCTGAAATCCCACAGGTCCCCTTGTTCAGGAGCTTGAGAGTACAGATTTTGTATATCCATATCTATATATTTTACTGTGGTGCACGATTCTAGTGGTATAGTCAATTGTTACTGGCAGACTTTCCTCTCCCAGTTTCTCTTCCTAGCTTGGAGAAGCGCGGGGGGTCAGGGCACAGGAGCTGGATGCAGGGAGACTTCCTCTTTTGCTTTCGCTGCTTCCTCTGCTAGCAGGCCATGCAGGAGGAGGGAACATATTCACTGGAGTGCAGAAGGATGAGTCTGATTGAGGCTAGGAAGTTTTTTTTTTAATTGAACAAGCCAAAATACTACTTAGCGCCTAGGTTAGGCACTTGAAAAATCATGCCTTGTTGATTGTATTGTACTGTAAATTGACATCTTAGATTTCTGCCAACATCCAGAATTGCTTCAGTTGATACTGGTTGAATATCCACCAGTGATTTTCTATCTAGTATTTATCTCATACTCTCCTATGTAGCGCTGTAGCTCCCCCTGGATTACAGGATAACATCATGATAAAGTAAATGCTGTAAACACCAAGGGATCTTCTAAATCCTATTAGCTAACTCAGTTTAAAAGCTATCTTTTTTTCCTCTGAACAAGACCTGAGAGACTAATTGATAGTAACTCTGTAGCTGTGATCAGCAAATACACTTAAAGCCCACTGTAAGTCAAAGAGGGGCTCTTAAGACATTAATTCTCTTTGGATCAGGCCCTTTGTTCAGTGAGCCATGCATCCTGCAGCTAGGTTTTGTGGAACCTATGGCTACTGTGACACTATATTTTTTTCATTTTGCCATCCGAATCAACAGGTTGTCAGTCTGGCATTCAGGCTTTTCAGCTATGCCATGATTTCTAAATGATGGCATCTTGCCAGCACCAAAGAGCTCTGACATTATGGTCAGCATCTAGTTTTCGTATCTGCTTCTGTCTTGGCTGTTTACAGTGCCATTCGCTTATGGAAGTGGGACTCACCAAATACCGGCAATTAAACTGTGTTTATTTCAGATGTTTTTAATAGAACATTAAGCTAATGTGTTTCATATACCAGTTTGCTGAGTGTTTACTGTTTGCTATATTGCAGTGTATTTGCTGGCTGCCAGATTCCATATCCTAAACGGGAATTCCTCAATGAAGATGAACCTGAAGAGAAAGGGGACAAGGTATGATAAACATCTTTTTTTTTTTTTTTTTTCCTTGCAAGTATGCAGCAAGGAAGAGTTGTGCTCCCAAAAGAACATTGATAAAATGCGAACAGTTAACCAAAAATATGTTTTTCCAGGCAAGAATGTCTCAGAACTGCTTCACAGCAAGAGTAAAAGTATCACATGACTTTGGGGTGTCTTGGGTCATATTACCAGCACAGTTAGTCCTGACCTATGGGGAATGAGCTGGATGAGTTACTCTGTCGGCAGTAGCATGCTTTCAGCTGCCATCATTCCAAGAGGACATAAAGAGGACCTGGCCTCTACCTCCTCCTGCATCTCATGATGAAAATACATCATGATCACATGAAAAGAACGGTATTTCCATTGTATGATTGGCATACATCCAACCATTTGAAGGGAAATGGTTGTCAAGGTCTCAAATAAATAGTGGTAGCCTGCTTCTGGCACTACATCAGAATATTTCATCCATCTGCACACAGTTTCCTGATCATGTTTTAAGGGCCCTCAAAGGAGTAATAAGGAACATGAACTGTTCTGATATTGGCAATCTACTCTGAATACCCTCTTTCCCATGGCCCCTCAGACATGGGCAAGAGCTTGCCTGTATTCATAGTAAATGTTGGTGTATTTGGGACATACCTGATTTGTTTTGTGTGTGTAGCTCAGCTGTGCTACACAAAGACGGTGAGTATCCCATTATGCTGTGAAGGTTGGATAGTAGTGCTCTAGTGTATAAGATAGCTTGTTATTTTTGCTTAAAAGTGTACAGTCAGGTACCAATAGTAATGTATAGCTAGAAAAAGATGAAGAAAGCAGCCTTAAATTGCAATTAGCTAAGGACTACATGAGAAGGACTGTTTTGGGGGAACCTTTTGACTATGTGTATCTTCTGGATCAGATACTCTGTGTAACTTGAGAACCTAGCTGTGCTTAAAAGTATGCCTATCTTAATACGTTTCAGGCAATAAATTTTGTTTTCTGGACAGATATTGTAGATTTTTATGTACAGAGAGCAAACGGTAATGTCAAGTGAGTGTTTTTTTGTTTTGGGGTTTTTTTTTTTTTTGCCCAGATAGTTTTTCAGAAAGAGGAAACTGAAGGACCTAAACAAAAATAGAATGAAAATCACGATACTGCTTTGATTGTAATTTAGATACCAGCTTGGCTCTAACACAGCTTTAAAAACAAGAACAAGCCTTATGAATTGAAATGACTCTGGCTTTTGTTAAGTTAGTGTATTTAAAAGTAAATATATGTTTTTTCATGGGACCTTTGGGGGGAAAAAACAATAGAATGTTTATATTCAAAACAGCCATTGTATAAATGGTCTTTGAGATTGTTGGGGACAGTCACGTATTTATGCACGCTGTAAATAAATCTTTTTTCAGACCATTTAGTTAATTTAAGTCACTCATTACTCATTGAATCTGTTCTCACAGTGCAGAATATATGAAGGCAAAGAGTGCTCTAAAAATTGGACCTGTGCCATGTTTTGTTTCTTTATAGTGGTGTTACAAGTGAAAGTTTGTTTTTTTTTTTAATAGTGTTACTTTCTGATTTGTTTTAAAACCATAAATATCTGTTTGTTTGACTCTTAGAAACCTGCAGGGGTTCTCTGTGCTTGCTTATTAGGAACTTGCATCTTCTTTGAAGAACCTTTGACATAAGCAGCTTCAGATTGTTGAATTACTAGTCAGGAAAGCTAAATGCATGCTCATAAAACAAAATGAGAAGATTCTTTTCTCATTACAGTTCTATTAAGTGGGTTCTGCTAGATTCATTTCTGCTGGATAGGACTGGATTTTCATTCTGGTAACTTGGGTATATCAAAGAGGTGACATATGGTAATAAATTGCTAGCTTTAGACCTAAACTTTAGGCAGGTTTATTTCATTTAGGAACCACCATGAACTAGGCTGACCAGAGCACGTTTTTGCTGGCAGAAACTGTTTTCCGCACTAAGATGGTTTGCCAGTAACAGCTGGGACCCCCAACCAGAATCTAACACAGAGTAGATCTCTGTGTTCGAAGGCAGTAGGAGCAGTAGCTGCACAGAAGAGCAATCTCAGCCTAGCCAGGTAAATTCTGTGCTAATGTCCAGAGTTGGAAAACGTAGGACCTGTGACAAACTGGTGTTCTTAATTATGCAAGTTCCTGCCGTGTTTGTTTACATGTAACAAAATTGCAGTTTTTCAGCTCTCACAGTATCAGCACCGTCTCTTGCGTCTGAACGCCCCTATGTGAACGGGAATCTCAGAATTCTAGCACAAATGCGGGTTTAGTTACTGGAGCTTGTTTGTGTAAGTGAAACTCAGACTGTTATCAACAAGATAAATTGCTTCTTAAAAGATGATGAACTTTTAAAATTAATTAAGCTAGCTTGTGAAAATCTCCCTGGAAATAGAATCTGACTGGGATGGGATTTGAGGACTGCAGGAAGTAGGATATAATATTGGTTTTGCTAAACGTTAGATGGAAATAAAGCCACCCCTAAGCCCCTGAAGATGCAATGTTTCTTTGTGATCTTAAACGAATGTATCATTGCAAATTTCATCTGAATGTATCTTGGGAAACTGTTGTGATGAATGGCATCACAGCACTTTTTCATTATCATTTATCTGAGGTAACTAAATGGCTTTTGAGTATTGGGGGCATCAAGAAGTTTCTGCTAGTGGCAATGGGTTGCTGTGATTTCCAAGAAATTAGTAATCGGAGGTTTTTATAAAAGTCTATCATACCAAAGCTTTGAAAATTACATAAGCAGACTTGCTATGGGAAAAAAAAGACTATCCTGAAATGTTCCATACCCCATATGGTATTTTAGAGGTTTTATTAAGTGCAGGGCTTTTTAACTCAAGCCATGAATATTGTAGTTTTTTTTTTTTTTTCTCCTCACGAGGAGCAAGTTACATATCTCACATTTGGAGTGAAATGGCTTTTCTTTGTAATTCTCTTATTTGCTTCAGTGCTCTGTTGGAGGAGCGTTCCCTAGTGCTTGAAAGCAGACAAATGGATGGTGTTTCCTTGTAAGTGTCTCACCAAGGAGGTCATGGTTGCACCCTGCTGGTTTTCCAACTTTCCCTCCAGTCTCCTAAGCATCCCTGCAGTCTGTAACTGTCTAGAGCCAGAACAGTGCAATGTCTTTTGCTCATGTTCCCTTTCTTAACCTTTTTCTCCCTTTTGTGGCACCTTTCTCTTTGTCTCTCTTGCTGCTAGGCCCCTGTGTCATCTCAGTTCTCTGACTTCTCTTCCTTAACTAGTCTTTTCTTTCTGTTGCCAGATTCTTCCTTCAGCTGTTTCCTCTTCTTTTTTCCTTCAACTACTTATCTCTGGGCAATTTTCACTTTTCTGTTACTTCAATTGGATTTTCTGACCCCATACCTAGCACACCATGCTTGACTGTGTTCCCAGTGTTCCCCTCTGTACGAGATGCTGAAAGCACGGGAGAGGCAAAAAGTAATGAAAGCTGTTCTGGTTCTGGCACCACATTTCCTTGTAACCTGGAAAAAGTGATATCATTTCTCTGGTCTCGCTTTGCTTAGGTTTCTGACGTTAACACTGGCAGCCTCCTCAGAATATCGTAATGTGTTGTTCGGGAGAGTTTGAAAAGTGGGTTTGGTTCTGAGTGAACAAAGCCACTGAAGCACTTAGAATGATTTACTGTGGTTCACCACGTCTGCCGCGGAGCTCTAGAAAAATTTTGGGTTTTTTGATTCAGTTCATTAGGTGATCACTGACTTATAAATAGTTCCTTCCATCCTCCTCTCAGATATTCAGGCCTGAGTGCTTGGCGAGCTCTCGAAGTCACTGCACTCCCGTTCCAGTTCTGGTCTCGCTTGCTTTATTAAAAAACAAAACCACCACAGCAAAACCAAAAACGAACCGCAAGTGATTCTGTGAGTGCTGAATTAAACTCCTGATTAGGAAGCCTGTCCTTCCCCGGTGAGCGCAGGGCTACCCCAGGGCCGTACATAGTGGCAGAGAGGGGCCGCGCTTCGCCCATCGCGCAGCCCTGCTGTGATTTTCCTGGGG